ACATTGTTGTTGACTTGCTGATTAAAATATTCTGATTTTTGATTTTTTAATTTTCTTTTTACTCTTTTATTTAATCTTGCCGCATACTATAAATATAGATAGGTTAGATATATACACTAATACACTATGTATATATATATAGGTATAACACACGTTCGAAGCGCGGCGGCGGCGTAACTAATCACATCGAGTTAACGTTTTAAATTACCCTAACCGGACCAAGTGACCGGCCTATTAGGTATAAGTCACAAATATATATAATATAGTTATGGCTTGCTAAAATCAAGATAAAACTCGTATGGGATATTATAAAAATATATTAAACTACAACATCGTCTGATTTTGGTCTGAACCAAGACTTACGAATGCCTACCTAACCTGTACATGAGGTATGATCAACAATATAGTTAGTGACACAAAATATTTCTCAAAATATTTTCAAAACTTAAATTTCAAAAGTACATAGAAAAATAGTTTTTTTTTCAAATCGTGTCCTTCCTTCTCTTCGAGGTTTAAATTAATTTTTATCCTTCTTAAAAACTGACTCATTGTGAGTTTCAATTTGTCCACGCATAAGGCACATCGTTGTAGTATGATTATTTATCACTTATCAGTTATCATTTTAACACGGTCTATCAACGTAATTTTAAAAAGCTCCGTGTGATTTCGTATGATTTTATTTTTAAAACTATTAGTTGAAGTCTTTTTCGTTGAACACACGCAGTATATATTATCCTACCTATATTGTAATGCTGAATAAACATTGCGATCGACCGCCACGCATTCCGAGAAACCTAAAACTTATGGATATTATAGGCATACATATATTATAGACTCGACTTAATGCGTTTGTCATGTATATATACATATGTCATACTACGCTTTTCGAAAGAAATAATATAAAAAAAAATTTACGAATTCACTCGGTCGTCGGTTTATAGATATATAATATATTATATAATAATATATAAATACTAAAACAGAATATATATATATGTACTCTATACTGATGATTTCGTAACAAGTCAAAAACACGAGTTCCCCCCCCCCCCCCCCGATATTTTATGATTATTCACTACATTTAATACTAATATGCATATGTATATGTATATGTTCGCGTTCACAACCTTGATGGTCGTTTGTGTGTTGATTTTCTGTTCGATGCCGCGTACCTCAATTATTATTACTATTAATATTATATGCGCTTACACACCCTAAATGCTCGCACGCCACTGCAACGACAGACATCAATACCTATAATATCATCACAGGTCGATTAGACATTGGAAAAAAAAGACATTCTTCGTTGGACCTTCTTGTCCATAATTTATAGTCGTCCGAGATTCAACAGTGTATCTAAACGGCGGTCAGATTCGTTTGCTTTATAACCGCATAGTGAAGTTATATTATACAATATTATGGTTTCATTATTGTGTAATTCTATTTCGTAATATCAGTAATGATAAAGAACATTATCATAATTAACTCTCGCTGACTGATATCTGTCATGTGCCACTCAGTGTGTATATTTATATAAAATATACATAACATTATACCTACTATATGGACACTCGGGTTTCGGGTATAAAGTATAAGGATAATATTACGAGTATGTTATACTGCAGGTCTTATATTAATACTATTTTAATGCTGTAGCTATTCGAATAGACGGTGCACGATGGAAAAAAATACAATAAATTGTATTGCACGTGAAGTTGAAATAAACAAACGGATGGTTTAGAGGCTATAGCTCGGAATAATATTATAATAATATGAGTATAGGAACTGCGTTTTAATTGTTTTCATTGTAACAACATATTCGCAAACATATTCAATGCACATTATATTACATAGCTAGATCTGATTACGTGTAGAACATTTTTTTTTTATATAAAGCCTAGAAATGGTTTATACATCTTGTTGAACGTTATTGAGGAAAATGACGTTATGACAATAGATAAAAAAAAATGGATTTTTACATAGGTTGGGTCATCCGTTTTAGGCCTTTGATTTTGTATATTTGATATATTTATTAATTATATCTAACCTTGCACAGCGTTGTTCGTAAAAGATTAAGCAAGGCCAATGGATTTACCCTACTCTAAACTTCATTAAATTTAAACTAGGAGGTACACACTACACATATTTGTAACATAGCGATTTAGGTGGTTTTAGCCAAATATAAAATAGGTACCTACAAGTTTAAAATTATAAATAATTTTAGGTATGCCTCTTTTTATTACTATTTCAGGTAGTATAAACTGTAAAAGTGGCGTCAAAAAATTTCTCATTTATGATTTGACTTTAAATATCAAAAAATTTAACGAAGTTTACTAAAAATGAGTAAAATTCTCTTTTTTGCAAAAATTACAAATTGTTATTGTAACGTGTTAAAAAATTATTAAATGTAATTAGAACTAATTACTATGATTATTTATGAGTACCTAATAAGCCAAAAATAATTTTATTTTATAATATATACATATCATCAAATAATTAATAAAATGTTTTAAATAATTATAATAAGTTTGTGGTTTTTGGATATAACCTAAAAAAATAGTGTGTAATTTTAACTTACTAAATGTGTGCAGTTTTTTAGATTCAACGTCTATAAATAAAATGAATACAATAATAATAATAATTGTTATTATTTAATAAAATTCAAACTAAATTACATGTACCTATATTGTAATAAATAGCAATAACAATATTGTTATTTTCTTGAAACCATCAAAATTCCATTATTATTATTATAATTGTTGTTTTAAAAAAAAAAAATCAATTTCGTCAATAATTGATTTAAACATTTTAATATTGTACACTACTATTGCCTTTAAAATCGTTAACTATAACCCCTTTGACCGAAAATTAATATCGTACAGATAATAATATTATTAAATTTCCTTCATGTGTTTATTTTAAGATATTATAATAGCTAATAGATGTATATTACAGTGTTTTGTGTACAGTTATGTGATGTATTATGTGTACAGCTATTTGATGTATATTGTTCACTTTTTTTGATATTTGTTTAATGTTTTGCTTTTGCAGTGAGACTATTGATACACTTATAACCGTGGTTTTGATAGAAAAATCAATCATTCTTAATAATAATTGTAAGTAGTGCAAATTGATTAAATTCTCAGAGCCGTACGGAGGGCAGACTTCACTCATCTGATAATTGTTATACGTAGAATATAAATTTATGCGAAGAAGTGTTGGAGAAACGAAGTAAGGAGAAGCCACTGTAGGGATTTATATTGGTAATATTTATGCAATTTTAAGAAAAATTGAAATATTTAGTTTCAAATATTTGAAAAGTGGTATCATGTCAATACCAATAATAATAGCGGGTGCATAGTAATGAGATTATGTAGAAAAACTTATATTTGCCATATAGATAAAACTTATTGGTGTATTATTTACAGTAAATTTACCAAATTTTTATTGTACTACACAGAAGATGAATTTATCTGTGTCGTAAATATTTCATTTATTTGATATCAACACTCAATCATTTTTAATAAATAAATTTAAAAAAATAAATAAATCTCTACGAATAAATAACTTGGATTATCTTTAAGTTATTAAAAACAATTATAATTTATCATTTGAATATTTCAAATATTGTTTGAGTGGGATTTGTTAAAATTTTTAAGGGCTCGATATTCGAAGCTGTTTTAATCAGAAAAATCGTTCTAACCTCTTGTAGATAATTAAAATAGAATACATTTTTAGGACTGAGGAGAAAATATTCAGTCCCCTAATATTTTTTATGTTAAGTCTTGCAAAAAGAAATCTCGAAGAAACACAATTAGTATTTAAGTACATATATAAACAATTATGTAATTTTAAAAAGCTTGAGGTGCTGCGATATCCTTTATTTTTCAATTATAATCTACAAATGGCATAAATTATGAGGGTGATATTTCAAAACTAAAGTTTATAATTATCTCAATTTCTTTCAAATTACACTTACGTGTATAGATAATACAGTCGGTTATCGATAACTCGAAATTCCTGTAGAAATAAACAATTTAGCTTGAAAAAATTTCAAGTTATCAAAATATTAAGAAAGTATGTTTGTATATATTTATTTTAAATATGTATGTAATTTATATTAAAAAAAAAATCCAAATTTACATTTATATATTTAATGACAAGTTATCGTTTTAAAGAATCGACGTAAGGTTAATTGTTTATGCTTATTTAATATATTGTTTTTGGTTATTTTTTTTAGACAGCCTAGTGGCTTGGATACATGAGTCTTAATAGCTTCTCATACCAAAATAATTATTTTTACGACTTTATCGATACTTTATTAAAATGGTTGAATTTTATAAATTAAGTAATAAGCAAAAAATAATCGCGGTTATAAACTATTTTCAGCATTTAATATATATTATTGTCCTCATCACCTTATGTATTACTATATTAATTGTACTAAATTTGGATATGAACATTGGAGATTTCAAAAACTTGTCTAATTAATTTTTGAGTTAAAAAGATTGTTTAAACGTTAAGTGTTATTGTTATTTGAAAAGGCATTAATTTAATGTATTTGTTATATCAAGAATTTTGAGTTACCGGTGTTCGAATTACCGAGGTCTGAGAGTCTACTAAATTTTATATAACATACATATAACATCAATTGTGTATTGTTTGTTTGGAGTTCGTTGAGGTTTTCGAGGGCTTGACCTCCCAAGCCTACTGTTCATTTTCACGAGTTGTTAATTATAGTTGTAACGAAAGTAGAACGTTACCGATATGACTTAAAACAATGCAAGGTCCCACATTTTCATACATCGTTTTATTTTCACAATATTCATATTTTAATATCACTCAAATCGTGAAAATGATTTAAAATCAATATAAAATGAATATGCGTGGTATAGTACAAAATCGATTACAGTATACATTTATAATATATTCTTTGTATTGAATTTTAATTTAAGAATCCAATTACCGAACACAATAGAAACGTCGTATTCGTTATTAATTTATTATTCGTCGTATTTCTTCAACAATTAAGTAACTAAAACATAACTTCTTTTGACGTAAAGCTGAACGAACATCAACATTTTCTATCTTATTTACGACAGTAATATTTATTAGTGTAAATTCAAGATATTTACAATTTTTTAAAAGGTAGGTAATGTTAACATACTTTTTACGGTTACATAGGTATTGATATTTTTATAACAAAATAATGCATTTGTATTTAATTTTTTTTTTTTAATAATTGTAAAAAAAAAAAACGAGTGAAAAAAATATTAATGCTTTAGTTTAGATTGATAATTAAATAATATTTAACAATAATATTATAGTCATAACTCATAAAAATGTTCTTCGATTTATAATTGCTCATAAATAAATACAAATAATCATATAAATATAATATAATATTGTATAAATGCCTTATTTTAGAGTTTAAATATCGAATTCACAACTTATTCAATATTATGCACATTATTCGTATTGTACTAAGTTTAATAATATGACAGAATTATTTTCGTTAAATCAAAATTTATTTAATAATACGTTTTTGTAAATTATAAAGTTATTTATTAATATTATTATCATTTTTGCATACGTTAAATTTAATTTAAATCTATTGAAAATAAATTAAAAATTATCATCCATTATCAATATAAGGTGCCACTAACAAATTAATAAACACAGATGGTTGATATTATATACTATTTAGTTAATAAAGAAGAATTCTAATTTAAATATTATAGGTTTGTTTTCAATTAAAATACTGGTTATAAATTTAAGAATCGTATTCGCTATTTTATAAATGAATATATTATAGTCGTAGTGACAACTTGAGAAGCTGAAATCATGCTTGTGAAAATTCTTCTACGAGTTAAATAAACTAGAATACGTGTCTTGTGTGTACTAGTAATTATTAATCTGCATACCGTATTAATATTGGCTTAAACTCTATCAAATTTTGAGAAATGTTTAAACATTCGTTATGGACAAGACATTATTTGTTTATGTAATTCAATTGGGATGTTATCTCAATGTATCAAAGTATCCACAAAAAAAAAAAAAAAAAATAATAAATAAATGAAAATTGTGTTCAAATAAAATATACCATTATGTTTTAAAAACATTTCATAGTCACACCAGTTGAATTATTGTATTCGTGATTCAAATAAAAACAAATATCAATCAACTTCAAACTTGTACCTACAAATATTTAATATAATATTAAAAAAACAAACAAACTATACTTTGCTTTATAGGATATTAAATATTTTTTTTGTTTTGTTTCTAGCAATCATGAGCATAAAAGAATTTTACGCCGGATGTAATATTTTCATAACAGGCGGGACCGGATTCATGGGCAAAGTTTTGATTGAAAAACTACTGCGATCGTGTCCGGGTATCAAAAACATATATGTTTTGATGAGACATCGCAAAAATAAATGTATAACTACCAGAGTAAAAGACATGTTGACGTTACCGGTATGTAGAAAATATACATTTAAAATATATACTTGAGTAATGTCCAAAGAATTAGGGTTTTGTGTGTTTGATTCGTTCGATAAATCCGGTGGCAATAAATTTAATTCACTTGTCGAACATATCGTCTTCAGACCAATGGTTCAATAGTATAGTTGAAGATATATTAAAGCGAATGTATAACTGTATAAGTAAAAAAATAAAACAACAAATTCAATGAATAATTATTATTATTATCTAACCACATGTGGCAGGTTTTGTGATCATTTGTAATAATAAAATATGTATTTTAAAGATAAAATACGTGATCCGTTTAACGTAAGGCGCTCATTATTTTAAAAAGCACTTTTGTTTTTTAAATCCTCCTATATAATTTAAAATTTTTTAAAACATTAATTTTTATTTATTATCATTATGATTTTGAATGACCATATACATTTTTAATATAATGTTATACAGCAGAATATTAATCAAATTATTTTAATCTACTCGTATAAAAATCAAATTTCGGAAAAGTGTTGTATATTAGTTATAATTAATTGGTATTTAAAGTTTTTATGAGGCAGATAGTGGAAAAATATTTGTCTGAATACCACTATTGCACCTCAGTCATTTAAACTTTAAATAATTATAAATCATAAACTTATAATTCGTCCGAAATTTTATTTTTATCTAAAAAAATTCTTTAATAGTATTTTTCTTTGAAATAATATATTTAAAAAAACATAATATTATTATCGTTAAAAAGTTATTTTTTTAATTTTGATGATAATAAATAGTAAACATTTTTTTTTTGAGAAATATTATTTTTAACGGTTTATTATTAAGTATATAAAAAATTATGAATAATATTTTAATAGTTTTTGAAATAATAAGTATTTTATATAAAATTGATCACTTGGTACGTATATATGTGTGTTAAATATACATATATGATGGTTTAACTAAATAAACATGTGATAACTTATAATTGTCTCCAGTGGCGCAACTAGCTTAATTGTTTTGGGGGGACTGAAGTCTCACATTTTTTGTCACTGACACAGATTAAAATGATGGTAACTTTATAATACAGTGTTGCTAATAACCAATTAAAAAAAAAACCAAGACGTATTTTTTTATAAAAAAAATCAGTATTTACTATTTTTCATGAACAAAAAAATGTTAAAAAGGCTGAACATTTTTAGGGAGACTATTACAAATTTTGAGGTGACTAAGTCCCCCCCCCCCTATTTGCGCCACTGATTGTCGTCATTATACGATACTCAAAAAAAAAAAAAAACATCTTGCTTATGTTAAAATTATTTATTTTTTTTTTACACTAATTCAAATCATCTAATAGTAAATTACTCTGAATGTGTGTTTGAATAAGTACTTATATGCTTAAATGAAACTGAAATAAAAAAAAAACTGTTCAATACCTAATTACAATTTAATAGTTTATACGAATCGGAAAAGTAATGAAAAAATGTTTAATAGGTATGTAAATAAATAAATAAATATATATACACATATATATATAACATATAATAAATTAAAAATACTGAACACAATAAATAAATGTAATCATTTACCAAATTGAAATAACAATCTACCTGCAGTACTTTGTAATAAAATGCACACACACAGGTGCGCGCGAAGCTGGGTTAATTTTATTTACATTAATTTACAGAATAATTTTACTCTATTTTACGAGTGAAATGAATTAATTTGTATAATTTCGTTTTTAAATTTCTGTTTGGTAAGTATATATTATATTTGACTGTGCAGTTGACATTGAATTTATTTTGCTGAAATAATTTTAAATAATTTACCATAATTTAACTTTGATTTTAAAATTACATTGATCAACAATTTTACGTAAATATTTTTCTACTTGTATATAATTGAATAAATAAAATATTTCTAAACTAACTGAAAAATTGTAAAAATATTAATTTACATTATATATGTATTACTTTTATTATAGTTCTATGACAATAATGATGTTTAACTTTTTATGTAATGTTAGGTGTTGTATTGAAATAAATATGATACAGATATGTATCTACTGTTGGTACCAACAGTAATTAATTCTAAGCTGATTGGAAAACGGTTTTAATTATATCGATAACACTTAAATGGTTTATCAATAAAGGGTCAATACACTAGTATACTTAAATTACTTATAAATTTTCTCCATAATGATGTTACTATACGTCTATAAATAATGTTCTAAAGAATAACTAATATATTTAACTAAAAAAGTGATTTTCATTATCATACATTTACTTTTAATGTCATGGATACATAATATTTTATTTATTTTGAATAATTGAAATTACTATATTCTATAGAAAAATAACAATAATTATAAAAAAATAAAATGTAATAATAATACATTATAAAAGTATTCAAATTAATTAACAGTACCTAAATAATAATAAAAATTTGATATATTCTTCACTATACTTAAAAACATAATAACTTAGATATGATTTTAACCAAGATTATAAAATAAGTATTAGAATAATAATATTAAAATTTTGACAAATGTTCGTATTTTTTTTCCAATTATCTTAAAAAGGATTAATAATTTTTTCTACTAAAAAAATCATCTTCAAACAAAAAAATAAAATAATATAATTGACTACTAATAAGAGTAACATAGGTAATTGTAACGCAAATTGATCAGAAAAAAGTTATTTCCAACCCAAAAACAAGTTTTTGTTTAATTATTTATTTGTGATAATTATTATATCATATTGAATTAAAATGATGTTTTTATTGCGTTCGCCCAGCTGTTCGACAGAATTAACACAGAGCAACCCGGTGTCGCAGAAAAGAAAATAATTCCTGTACTTGGGGACATGAGTGAAATTAATTTGGGAATAAGTGATGACGATTACGATATGTTGGTTCGCAACGTTTCGATTGTTTTTCACGTCGCAGCAACAGTTCGGTTTGACGAGCCTCTTCAAGAAGCGATTATCAAAAATGTAAGAGGAACACGAGAAGTTGTAAAATTATCTGGACAAATGAAAAACCTCATTGTAAGTAAAATTATTCTATTGATTATGTTTATACTTGAGTTTGTGTGTACCTAAGTAGTAAAAGGAATATCACCAAGTCAAATCTCGGAAATCGAATCAAATTTATGAGCGAGTAGTTTTGGAAATAATATACTACCCATGTGGCATGTGCATAATTGATATAAAGTATAAATACATAATTTTAGACATTTATAAGATATTTGGTGTATATTAATATATTTTATTAATTTAAAATTACATTTTATAGTAAAATTTAACTAAGGATTTAATTGTATAGATAATATTAATATTAATAACTATTGATAAGTGATAACTTTATGCATATAAACACACTCAGATAATGCAAAATTGCCTAATAAGATACCGCATTCACCCATTGTTCATTTTTTACCATTATCACAATAGGCAATTGCCACTCTGCACTTATTAATTCGAATACGTATTATCGCTATTATTATTTTCTGCCTAAGAATATTGTGATAGCTTAATAATTATAGTGACCATATATAAAAATCCAAAAATAAGTACATTTTAAAATTTTGCTCCTCTATTATAAAAAATCTCTCTCTTGAGATAATTGACCAATTTGTATCTATAATATTATTTATTTTGTTTTGTCTATAGGTCACCTCTGTCTATATAAAATATACATTGTTTTTTTTTATCTTATCATTCTATTATTTTTGTTTCTGTTATCAACTATAAAATCTAATTATTTTAAATTATTCTGTCAACTTATTAGGTATGTTTCTTTACAATGAAAATAATCTGTATCTTAAATACATTGAAAATATAAGAAATAATCTAATGTATGATTATCGAAAAAATAAAACTTTAAAAATGAATATTTATTAATATATTTTCAACAAATTCAACTTTAATAACTTTTGAAAATTTAGAAATAGGTACATTTACTGTTTGAAAATAATTGTTAGTCTGTGAATTATTGTTATATGAAGTTAAACAAAATGATTTATTCAATTTTAAATGCCTGTATCTTTTGGTTTTTAGGCTTATAATAACATATGATACATTAAGTCACTAGTTACTAAACTGGTGGGGGGGGGGGGGGGGGGAAGATGTTCGGGGGGGGGGGGCGCAAGTAATTACTACAAAATACATTTTTTTTTTTTTTCGTAAAGAAAAAAAAATATTGACCAGTTCCTTTTTATCCGTTATTAGGTATCAAAACGAATAACCGATAAATTACCATCAACAATAAAATAGTTATTCCGAATATTGTATAGTTTATTTGTAAACTACACGAAAAGACTAAAAGAGGTGATCAATTGTTTTCAATTTATAGAAGAGGGTGCGAAATTTTTGAAAATCTATAATAGAAGAAGTTGAAAACCATTGCATTAAATAAAAGAATAATATTTCAAATGCATGCAATGGTACCAATAAATGTTGTTCGTGGTTTTTTCTTGGTCACCCGAACAACACCTAGTTGGAACTCTGATTCATTTCATGCATATCCGTTGTAACTTGTAATTGACTGTGTTAATTTTTAGCTCTTCTTTAGTTTACGATAATAATACTAATAATAGTATGTATACAGTATCTTAAACATATCCTCAAAATACGTAGTCGCATGGTGTAAGATGAAATGATTCAGGAAGCCAGGTTCAAATCATCGGGTGATTTATTTTGAATAATCCTGTAATCTGTAATGTGATAGTCACTGTGCTTGGTAAAATACAATGCGACATGACTTTGATTATAAATTGAATTTATCGTTCTACTACATAATATTAATTTATTCTACTAATAATGTTTTCTGTTATTACTTGATTATGTGTTTAATAGCACAATAATTAAATTATATTTAATCCCGGTTCATAGAAATATGACAAAATAGTATCTTAGATTAATATGCATTAGGTTGGACTATAAAATATTGATGAATAATCAAGTTATAAATAATCATAAATATGTATTAGCCGGTAATATTTTCAAAAATTGAGTAAAATTTAATGTAAAGGACATTAGGACAATGCATCAAAAAAGAGTATCAGCCTACAAAAAGAGTATGTCTGCAAGTCACTATAATAGTATATTATATAATATTATTCACTGTACAAATAGAATAAATAATTATAATATTTAAAAATTAATTTATGATTTTAACGAAGAAATAGACATGACTTAATTCTAAATAAATGCGTGGAGGAAAATGAAAAGTACTTTTTTTTCGGAAGAAAACAAACAGTACAAGAAAATGGTATCTCATTTTTGAAGGAAAATGGTTCCGAATGCCCGAAATAATGTACGAAGTGTTAATCGAAATTTGTGTTATGATTGAATTACTTATAAAGAATAATGCAAACAATATGTAATTTTTACGGAAATAATTTTTTGAATTTTTTTACTGTACAATAATTGTTGAGTAGGTCATTGTAATGGATATGTTAAATTGGAATTTAATGATATATCATTCAGAGTAGGGCATTATTCAAATAAAATTGTATTTAGATGATATTATTATTCATAATAAGTTTCATCATGACTCATAAGTTTTCATAATTACTCGAATAAAAATTATCCAATTAATTTTTAAACATTATTATTTAAATAATTATTGGTTATTTTATTTGATTAAAGGTTAGACATATCATTTTTAATTTTATACACGCAATATTAAAAACAGTAATTAGTTTTGTATTTTAAGTTAAATGTTTTTAAATTTAGTTTAATTCGGAATAAATGAAAAAATATTATTAACAAAGCTTGTATACAACTATAGAAAAAAGTATATTATAAATTATAATTTTGTCATAAAGATTTAATAATAAGTAATAATTACGACAGTAAAGAATAGTAATAAATATTAAATAATGATAACAAAAAATAAAAATAAATAATTATAAGTTATAACAATTAATATCAATATACTATGCATAATAGAGAAATTTTAAATTAGATTTTAAAATAACCTTTTTTTCTAACAGGTCATTTAATAGTTAGTTGAATTTCGGTAAATTGATGATATTTTCAGATTTTATTAATTATATATGATAATTAAACGAATAGAGTAAAAATAAATACAATATTTGATTAATAAATTATTAAAAAAATATTTTTATTTTAGTATAAGATAGAATAATATTTTTTTATATGAATTTGAAGATAAAATAACTTAGTTATTCTAGATGCGATTATATTAGAGTACTGAAAATTATAAGAATGGTCTATTTACTACAACAATAATGTATTTAATAGTCTTATATATAGTGAACATACACGTAGGTTTACAATATAATGAAGACAGCCCCTATTATTTGTAAAATTTCGTACTGCACACTTAATTTTATTGCTTTAAACGGAAATTTGATTCTCGCTACTTTCTTAAAAAAAAAAATGTACCTATTACATACATATTTATATATATATGTATATAATAATTTAATACAACAACGAAATACTTTTGACTGATAACAATGTTTGAAAATTAATAGAAAGAAATTATAATTAAGTATAATTTAAATTTAAAAAATTCAGGAAATACTCATATTTTTTGGTAGTTGGCATATTATTTAATTATTGTTTTATAGATCGTAGTGCATACATGTTCAAATCGTAGTGCACACTTGTACATTCGTGGTGCACATCGTGTGTCGTAGTGCACATATAAATAAGGCCTGAACGAAGAATATAATAATTTTTATATACTAATATTGTAACTAAAATAAATTATACTACAGTACATTTATAATAGAAGTATATTTGAAAAATAATCGAATAATATTGTTTTACGCATTTACATATCCATTCGAATAATTAACTAAATAAAATTTTGCCCAACACTGATATTATGATGAATGTATATACGACAAACAATTCCGAATGTCTGTCAGTTTAATTAAGATTTATCTGTTAGCTACTAATTTTATTATATTTCATGATATGCTTATTGATATTTTTATTAAAGTAATTTATTTTAGTATTGCTATTATAGGAGGTTGATTTAATTTTTTCCGAAAATATTTTTATTTTACGCTTATTATATTATAAGTATTTAATTATTAATTATTATAATAATATACATAGTCCATAATATATAATAACTATTATTGTTATTAATTTCTGAGTCAATACCGCTTCATCAAAAAACAGTGTGAACAGATGTATGATATAAAATTATACATAAGTAATATTTTAAAATTAATCTATATATATATATATATTTAAAATGTAATTGTGCGTAATAAAATTTATAATACAAATATTCGTAAAAGTTTTACGAATACGTTTAAGTTATGCCCTAAAATATTCCCTTAAACATTTTTTTTAACATAATGTAAAATAAAAATGGTTAAAAAAATATATTTTTACAAGGTATTAAAATTATTGTGATTTGAAATTTTTACGAATGGTGCAAGTCGTAAATCAAACAGCCTAACTATATATTAATCATATCTAATGGCACATGACGAAAATTTTGTGCGTCAAAGGCTATTGGTTGTTAAAAAGGTAAACCATACTTAAAAATTATATAACGAGAAAAAATAAATAATTATTATTATTTTATGTTTAGTGGTGTGTTTTATAATATATATTTTTATAGTAGATATATAAAAACTGTAAAATAAAAATTTTATATTTAAGTACTTGATAAACATATGAAATCAATTTTACGCTTGAAAAACAGTATTTTGGGACATTTGGAAGAAAATGCAAATTGTATTTATATCCGCACCCTAATGTTAATTTACAAAATTTAAAATACAGTCACTAGTCAATCAGTTATTTCGTATTTATTTAAAATACGAAGCTATATGTATCACAATAAAAGTGATGATGTTCAGATGAAGATAAAATTCACATAATATGATATATACTGATAAACCCCCAATGTTTAATGAATACTATTTTTGTTATTTAGCATTTTATACAAATTATATTATTATATGATGGTGATAGTAAATATCTTGAAGTAGTTAACAAAACATCATGTGTATATAATAAATTATATGCTAAAAAATACCTAACCGTCTTCGTGTTATACAGGTTATACTGTTATCATTGAGGAACATAATTTAATATCAAAGAAATTAATAAGTAGGTAATTTATCATTTAATATACCATCTATATTATAATCTGTCGATATATATAGCGATTTTAGTATGTATATTTTTATCATATTATTCCTTTTTTAAACATACACTTCTTTGATAATGCATTTAATTTAAAGCTTCATTGTATTATACATTTGCACAGTTTATATAATATAAAAACTAGGCCATATAATAATTAACATAATACATCTATATGGACTGCAGTGATAAAATAATTTTTCGATGAATTTTGTAGAAAATACGAATAATTGCTTTTACGCCAACGACGATAAGCACTTATAATAATTTTAATACAAATAGCAATAATAATACTTATACATAAAGATTATTAGTTATAAGCTTATATCTAAGTAGTTCTGTAGGCCCAGCATTTGCATTAAAAATAAATCGGTGAAAATGTTCGCTGTACCTGATTTTAAAACTACGCGTGCTTATAACATTTATTGGTATTTTATTAAGTAAAATTATCATAATATTGACACGTTAAATTCAAATCGATTACCAACTTGCGTATAGTAAAACAAAATTATAATATTTATTTACATTTTGTCTTGTAATAATATATTAGATATATCATTGTTAAATGATTTTTTTGTCATCCAAAAAAATGGTGAATATGTGATATAAGCGTCATAATTGAATTTCATTGCTTTGTAAAATTCCTTAAATACCATATCTATTGCATACAAATCGGTGATAAAATATACTATACATTTTTCTTTCATCGCGTTTGTCAAAAGTTTTTTTTTACTAACTAAATTTTCAGAAATTTAATTTTTGAATTTTTGAATTTTTCTATTTGTTTTGTTATTCAAAGAAATTAAATGGATAATTTGTAGGTCTCATCTTAATTATCAATTAAAAAGTCAAATAATATCAAGTACATCAATGTATCATGCAACAGTTACTTGATACTAATTTTCAAGTATTTTCAGTACAGTTTTATCAAATTGTAAATTATTTGCTTATAAATATGTTTATACTGTATACATACATTGCATTAAGCAGTATATTACATTATATATACATGATGTTTTATTAACTATTTTAAGATATTTACTATCATGTTATAAAATATTTGTATAAAATTTCAAGTAACAAAAATAATAATCATTATTAATTAAGGGTTTATCAGTAGGTATATTATTGAGTTATACCTATTGTTTCGTATATATAGTTATAGTATAAATGTTAAGACTTATTAGACTTAGTCGTTAAAAAATCCCAAATAAAGATAAATTGATTTAAAATTGTTATTTATGGAATACACGATTTACATACGACTCTCTGGCGTGAATTTAGAAATCTGAAATGGGGGACGGTACTATATTTCTTTTAGAAACAGTATGATTATAAAATTGTAATTTTAGTACATCATATATTATTAATAATATTTGACAACAAATGTTAACAATTTCATTTATATTTTAAATGTATGGATCTTAAGACGTTTTAACAATTTACCATATAAATAAATACATAATATGTGACATTCCCAAAAGACAGGAGAGGTAAAGCCCTTAGCCACACCACTACCATTGATTTGCGCTATACTCATTATTTTCACCTCATACAAATTTTAATGTTTAAATAACAAATTGAGAAGTTGGATCAGAAACATAAGATTCTACTGAGCTCGGGTAATTTATTTTAGTCTTTGGCTACAATTAACCTATAGGTATATCTCTTTGACTAATATATAATAATATAATATGTCATTAGGTATCTTACGCATGTTTATCGGCATAATAAATCGATATATTATATTGTGATTTATAATTCACAGGGCATAACATTGTAGGGTACATAATTATATACAATAACTGTATCTCGATGATTATTAAATTTGTATATATTGTTGAATTGTTCCATAGCACGTTTAATATAAATTTCATAATAAATTACATTTTTTCTGTAGGTATTTTTACACGTATCAACGACCTACTGCAATTGTAACAGAGTTTATGTGGATGAAAAAGTGTATGAATCGCCTATCAGTTGGCAGGATGCAATTTCGATTGCAGAAAACTTGGATCCCAAATTGTCTGAAATTTTCTCGAAAAAGTAAGTGTAATAATAGAATAGTTTATTTAAAAAAAATACAATCGTTTGTACTGATACATACTTTTCTGAGTTATATAGTTTAATATAGTTGTAAAAATTTGGAAAACAATTTCTTTCCTAGGTTACCTAGTCTAACCAATCAACACTAGTATTATATTGTATTGAAGCTTACAATTTTTTTTTCATCATACATTAATATTTATTTATACTGTAAAAAATTATTATATTTTAATAATTTAAATATCACAGTTTTACATAATTGTTCATCAGTACAGAAAAAACGATTAACAGAAATCGCATAATGCATATTCCTAATTATTATTGCACATCTCATTATACCTATATTTTAGTCTTTTAAAACTCGTATAACGTGTATACATATAATATTTATTTTCAAGCACTATTTGAAATAAGACACGATTCCTAGTCATCAGTAAGCTATAAAGACAGCTAGACCTTTATATTTTGGAGTTGTCAAAATCATAAAAATCTAACGATACAAATATTACTAATTTATTCCCTTATTCACAATAAAAATCAGTTATTTTAAATATATTAAAGCAATCCTCATATTTCCAACTGTAGATTTATTTATAACAATATCTTAACTTTTTAATAATTTTTATTTGTTATTCTATAGAAATGATTACATTAGTATATGAGTAAATATATAATTAATTAAATCGATTGGGAGTGTTATCAAAATAGTTAAGATTACTTAGCACTCAAAAATTCTCACCTTGTTGCACCTAGGTTTAGGGTACCTGTGATTAGGCTTAATTAGAATACGTATGGAAATGACCTCACAGAAGCTATAAAGTAAATTGTTCTTTAAACTACAGGTGTTTATTGAAGATAAATAATATCTATTACAGGCTGTTAAGTGAAATTGAACGTTTTTCAATATTTTTTTTATTATCAACTCAAAAATCATCAAATAAGAGGATATTATTTTTGATACTATAATGTGCAATGAATGAATGAAGTTTAAGTACAGGTAATAAAATATATTTATAGAAATGTGATCTTCCAAGTTGATCGCAACCTATCAAGTTTATCTTGAAAATTTTTTAATCGGCGCTCAGACCTGATTTGGCAGTGATAATAATATGAATAAAGTACTAATTCATTTGGGAGTTTTTTTTAATTATTTATAGATAATAAAATAATATAATTGTTCATAACTAACGTAATTTTACATATTTTTATGATTAATGTATCAAATAGATAAAACATCTACTGACTGAGGGTATACATTTCATAAATAAATATCGCTATCTATCTTGTATGAAAATTTTTGGCTTTTTAAATAACATGTCTGTAAGTATTGAGCTAGAACAACATAGGTGTAGAATATATATATATGGGGAGTATTTGATTTACGGAGTTATGATAGTTATTATTTTTTAATAATGTTTACAATAACATCGATTTATTATTTATCTAAAATTATTTATAAATTGAATTTTATTTTGGTATATTAAAGTCCATAATTTTGATATTTGACCAAATTTGTCTTATTTTGAGAATAACAACATTTCATAGAATTAATAAGAATACATCAACTGAAGAATTTAACAGAAAAAACAATTTTTATCAAAATTAAGTGGAGGATTATCCTGTTTATAAATTCCAAATACAACTTGTTAAAAAATAATAATCTGATTCAATTTATTTTTTCTATTGTAGAAATATTATGTTTGATAATTTTCACGTATAATTTATTATTTATTTAATATTTCGTGCATTTATATAGTCAGTAATTATGATTAAGGAAATAAAAACATTTAAACCATTATCAAAAGGCAGAAGTAGATATACGTGTATGTCCATTTAAACATAAAAATTTGTAAAAATGAAATATTTTGTGTCTTTGTTATTTTTAAAATGTATTCTAGTATAAGGTATTTAAAGTATTATATTTTTTTTAATATTTCGTTAAAACTTCTTATATCAAATTCATAGGAAAATAAATGAAAACGTTAAATCGTGAACTACTAGGAAACTCCTAGCTATTGCACTGAAAATAATAACTTACATGACGGACAATTGTTTTGTTCTGTTATTTTTACTATTATCATGAAAAAATAACAATTTATCGAAGTGTTAAAAGTTTTGTTTAACAGTGGGTGTTGATTGATGATAAGTCAAAGATAAGTTTAAAAAAAAAAAAATAATAATAAAAATGCAATTTAAAAAAATGACTTATGACTTGGAATGTAAATTATAAATATGATCAAAAAAACCCTTATACCATTACATTGAAAATACAAAAATCAGCTATGCAACGAAAAAAAATATAGTATATGGTCCACTGTAATGTTCCTATACGATTATAATCGAATACCAAGAGCACGAAGACATTTGAAAATAGAAAAATATTTCGACGAATAACTGAAATACCTTTAACAGCATTATAGGCTTGTGGAATATTAAAAAAAAATATTAAGTAGGGTATCGTAATAATAACAACGTGAAGATGATTTGAAAAACGAGGTCCTTAATTATACTATATAAATTATAATATAATAAAGGAATTATATTAATAAATTATATTTTATCTCTATGCATACTTAATTTGTTTCGTCATTACTTTAAGGATAATTTTTATTAATAATATCTTATACTAAACGCTATAATATATTTCTGCTTTGGTGTGCTTTTAATTAAATTAATTAGTTATATTATGAAATAAATTGACATCTTATAATATACGCATAAATAGTTTAAACTTTATTAGGTAATTGTTTTTATTAATAAACACTCATTACTTTGAACATTTTTTGTAAAACACTTTTTGCATAATTTGATTAGGTAAACAACAATGTTTTTATATTTTTGAATGGCTATATTATATAATATTTTAATTTTTAATTTTATGTTACAAAACGAAAAATTATCTGAGAATTACAATTTATTAAAGTCGAGTTTCAAACAAGTAATTATTATTTAATTAATATTAGTTAGTTTTATAACTTATAATTAGGTACATTAAATTTAAATGAACGGAGTAAAATAGCGTTAGTTCAAAATTCGATATTTATTTATTCTCAATAACATATTTTACTTTGAAATATTATAATAAAACATATACTGGCAATCTAAAAGAGTAAATTATATGAATAATAGTAAAACTACTCAATTTTTCTTTTGAAACATATTTTAGGTGAAAAAAAATTGTTAAAAAAAAATGTGTACACTATTACGTTAATATTTTTCGATAAAATTAGTGTTTACTTTTAAATATGTTGGTGGACAGTTAAAATTTTACTATTCTATGTTATTGCAGTCGTTTATTTATCTACATAGCAGCTTAAATTTTTCTGCAATACCAGTAATTTAAAAACCTTTCCTTAAATTTCACATAATTATTGTGGAAATAATAATTGTAATGGTTATTTTTATGAAAGAATGAGTAGTATTATCCATGTTAAATGCGTCGCTTAATTGGATATTGTCAACTTTATTTAAAACAAAATTGTATTGAAAATATTTTTTTAATTTTATTTGTAAATTTCTATTGCGTTTTTCATTTACAACATTTACGATAATGTTCACTAATCAAATGCTCTTGACTCGTTTGATTATTATAATTTAAAAACATAAAAAAAAAAAAAACATGTTAATACTGCTGAACATAATATGTATCTCTAACAAAATATACACGAATATTGTGATATTACTGTTTAAGCAGTAATATAAAGTTGCATTTTAAATAAACATATTATAAAACAAAATTATTTTTACGCCTGACTCACGACGTATTGAAAGAATGACCTAATATTTTATATTTCTATACTTTATAATTTATATAATATGTCGCATTCACAAAGTGTAATCGAATATTTCATGAAATGTAAGTATAATATAAATTTTTTTCATTGTAATTAAGATGTTATCATTTCCATGTAATGGACACCAATTGTATCTAATTTTCAAAATGTGAATTGTTAATTTACACTTTATGGAATATTATTTACTATAATTTACATCACCTAAACCGGTAACTTTTTATGAAATGATCTTCAAAAATAGCATGTGAACCTAATTATAATTTATAACAAAGTAATATACTAATATTTAGGAATTAGATGAGTACTTGCATTCATTATTTGAATATCAATAATAATGTATTAATCATATTATACTCATATATAATTTTTAATTTGGGGAACAATGTTTCATAATATGAAAAAATGCGATTGATACATAACCATCTTTAATATGTGTTAAGTATGTAATTTGTATATATTATGTGATATTATTTTATACGTAATATTTACATTTTAAGATTATTTACAACATTTTATTATAATTACACAATGCTATTTTGAATTTTCCAGTAACCATATCACAAAAAGTTTTCTGTATCGTGTAAATTGAAAAAAAAATAGTATTACACTAAATTTAAAAATAATAATTTCCATTTTATGAAATATATAAAATTTGTGACAATTACATATTAGTTTAAGAATTGATTATGTATTACGCTCAAAGTTCATAAAACGGAAATCTATTCCGTGAAAAGTTCCACTGCACTATGCAAGTTTTATGTAGCCCTATAAAATCATCATCAAAAGAAAATAATTACTCTCAAAATATAATTTATAAATTATATGTTTTACAATGTATTGTTTTTATGTATTACGTATGGTATTGTCATTTAAGAATTAAATTAAGTAATGAATAGTTATAGGTTTTATTTCTTTGTTATCCCTCGAGAGTTTTCACTACATTTGCTTGTATATAACTATAAACATAATTAATAAAATTACTAAATTTAATATACATTTATGTGTATGTATATAAAAAAAAAATGTATACAAACTAAATAATGTGTTGTTGAATTTTTTTTTATCGTAGATTCTTGGGATCGTTTCCGAATACGTACACATTATCAAAATTATTGGCCGAGCAAATAATCAAAGATAAATCGAACAGGTCGGATCATAACAGTTATATGCCAATGGTCATATTCAGACCGTCGATAGGTAAGTGTTTATTATATAATTGCATATATTAATTGTATATAAAAAAAAAAAAAAAATATATTATTAATATACCTAATATTATGGACTGCTGCACTAAAATTGTTAGAAATAGATAGAATCTAAACTGTATGCCACTTATTTTTTTTCGAAAAAGGTATTAAACTTCTCTTTTTCTTGCTCTCACTATTAATGAGTAAGAAATAGATCTTTGCTATAAATCTGTTTCTATATAAGTATATTATGGTATACGTACAATATGAGCCATAAATCATTATACGAGTACTATATAGTATATGGGTTGGATTGAATGCATTTAATTGAATCCGTATCACGTAAGAATCTATTCACGAGTACATTGGATTTATACTTTATTAATTGTGATCGAAAATGCACTCATTTTACCAACGAAATTAAATGAAAATTTAACGTAATAATGCATTATACAAACAAAAACATTAAATAAATGATTAAGACTTTTTTTGTACTTTAGAAAAAATAATTTAATATAATATCTATGTAATAAGTAAATACATTTTATAAAATGTACCATAGTCCAAACTTTCCTAAGTGGTGATAATTATTACAGTTTATTAAGCAGAGGGTTCTTTAACCTTTTAAAACAGCGGGTCGTCAGTTATTTTTAAAAAATATCACGAGCAACATTTACAGTAAAAAAATATTGCATAATATAAAAGACTAAACATTATGTATTTAAAGATGCACACTACAATATACTTAAAATGCATAATATACGGGCCTTAAATAAAGACAATGCGTGCTACGAGTTGAAGACTTTTGTCATAAGAACATTGATAACTGAAACTCTGAGGATTATAAATTTTTTTGTAAAAGTTTTAAGAAAAAAGTTACGATCTACTTTTCAATAGTAGGTACATTGAAAAACTAGTAAACTACCGAAGCATTATTATATAATACAATATTATAAGTGTTTTATTAATATATGATTTAATTATTGTATAATAAATGTGGCTGATGATGAATGCATCAATTCCTTGGATGATTGTGGTTGTGTATGTATTATTTTTTGAAAAAAAAAAAACAATTTTGAATGTTTTCAATTGCATTTGTTTTTTAAATTAATGTCCTAAACTTTGCGTAATATGTTATAATAATAACACCATTTCATGTTGAATAATGTTTTAGTGCTGTGTACGATAATATACACCGTTCAACGCTTAATCTCTAGCATTGATTTTTTATACATTGTGCTAATTGATTGAAATATCTAAAAAAGTAAACAAGCTATTTGTCTGAGTCAGAAATTGCCCAACCATTTCCCACTTGTTTGAAACCAACTAGATAATTTTTTTAATATTATTTAGGCATGTAATGCATAATAATACAGACTTGTATTGATATATAATTGAAATAACAATGACATATCACCTGTTTGTGGAAAAAAAGTTATATAGGAAAAAAAATATGATATATTATATTTATCACAATAAATTACGTTTTTTTTTTTTAATTATACTTTTAGTAGTTTAAATAATTTTATATCGTTACATGTATTTTCAATGAAATGAAAATAAAGTAATTAATTTGCACAAAAATAAAATAAAAACTATTTAGTAATTTTCTTCTGGTAATTTATTTACGAAAATTATAAAACCGTGTCTAAAATAAAAAAAAATAAATAAAACAAAACAAAACAAAATAAAAACACGATTTTAAATCCCAACATTAGTTTTACTTTACACGTGAAGTTAAGTGTAATGCTTGTATTTTTGTTCTAAGATAAATTACAGAATACGAACGATAATTTTATAACCAATATTACATGTATGTGCGTGCAATGCGTATTAATCGATGTGGTTATTTTCGATTGAAATTCGGATTTCTGTCCAAACATGTTTCACGCATGATATATTATAAAGTGTGCTGTAATATTATTATTTAAATAGGTTTTGCATAATATATAATATTATTATAATTTTACAGTTATATCTTCGGTAGAAGAGCCTGTAGCCGGATGGATAGATAATATTAATGGACCGATCGGCCTCATGTTAGCTGCTGGTAAAGGCCTAATACAAGTCACTCTGGCTGATAAAAATGCAGCTCCAGACTTCATGCCCGTCGACTTATCAATTAAGGCGATGATACTGGCCGCTTATCATCGTGGGACACACAAGTATTTTTATTGATTGCTTAATAATATGATAAATCTAAAATACTAAACATTCGTAGGACACCGCGTAAGGCGTGGTTGCAGTTCAGCTACTACAGGGAACACCAATAACACTGCTTAATATATTATTGAATAGCATACACTAAAATTTAGTATAATATTTATTATCTTTCTCTGTGCCAGCAATGTTTAAATCCTACTCCTAAAAATTTAAAGTCACTTACATGTAAATAAATAAAATATAAAAAAGGTAGACAACTGGGTACCGTCTTGCTGTACATTATAGTTGTCGAGTGGGTCACTGTAACGGGTGGGTTAAATTAGAATTCAATTATTATACATCATTGTAATCGAAAAAGAGTGAAAAATACAAACGGAGACGATCTGTCAGCCTATATTGTTAAGTATATTCCATGATGTTATGTTTTTGGACATAAGTATTAAAGTTATTTATTAAACTTTATGTATTACGGCAGATAGATCTAATTTTTGACGAAAAAATTGCGTTTATTATATTATTAGTAAGTAATTTCATTAATTTAATAATATGTATTCATATCAGATAATATTGTGTAACTCACTTTTGAGTTAATAACGGTTTACTATTTATTGTAAAAACAATTAAATAGTGTGAATCGGTTCGTGATATAAATAGATAATAACTTAAAGTAATCTACATATTTTACAAATGTCATTGCGTTTAGTGACATTCATGATTTATGTAAAAGTTTTAAGTCCCCATGAATATTGTTTTTAAATTACTACAAAATAATTAACATCGTTATTCATTGTTAAAAGTGTAATAATGGCGGCAAAAACTCTTAGAGAGTAGAAATGCCAGTAGAAGAAGAAGAAGATTCATTGTTAAAATAGGTTATTTCGTTTAAGTTCCAACTATAAATATCTAAAAAAAAAAATAATAATTGTGTTTGTATATGTTTAGAATTTAAGTTCTAAAATAAATTTAATACGAGCAAATCTATCGTCGTAAAAATTCAAACTTTAAACGGATATAAAGATTTGATCGACTTTTCGGTAGAATTTTTTTTTAAAAAAAGGTTGCGAAGGTTTTGAAAAACCTTATATTACATTTTCAAATCTTAAGTATAAATAGAAATTTTTTTATAAATTTGTGATTCCGAAATAATTTAAAATTTTTGAGATTTTGTTAAAATTCTAATTTAAAATGCTTGTAAAAAATGTTTGAAGCTATACATTTTTTAAAAATTTTTAGATGGGAAATTAATTTCTTATAAGAAACCTTAAAAAGATCTAAAATATTTTGAAAATAAACCATGCATAAAAAATTATAATATGAACATTTGGTAAAAATATCAAATTTTTACGGTTATTTGTTTTTGAATTATAATAAAAAAATCAATTTCATCAAAAACTTTTTTAGCGTAAAAATTCTCATTTCTTTTATTATTTCACATTTTTGAGGGAAGTGCTGGATAGTTTTTACCTTTAACCTTCAAAGAATCAATTACATTTAGTTTTCTACAAAATCCTTCCTCAAAGTTGAAAATTGAAGTATTTTTACTACCCAAAAGATGATGATAGACAGTAAAAAAAAAACTTTTGTGTAACCAATATATTTGTCGCACCCCTTATAATATAAAACTTTTTATATATTATTATACATATTTCAATATTTTTAATTTTTTACTTTACTATAAAACATAATGAGAACCAATCTATTCGCTTTTTTAACTTTAAATAATATACTAATAATATACAAAAAAAAAAAAAAAAAAATGATGTTCACGCTTTAATCTAAAACTTAATATAATTGACATTTTTTATAAATTTATGTTGATAAATTAATTAAAGTTCATAAATACTTGTATAATTAGCAAAAAAAAAATTAAACTATGTTGAAAAAATCTATTGTACAGAAAAATATGAAACTACGTGTTATGCCTTATTTAAAAAAAAAGTTAATATTCATAATTACGTTTTTTAATTACTTATTTAAACAATATGAACAGAATCCAATTTTAAAAGTTTAGCTAGTGATAAGTTTTCCATTTAACTTTTTATAATAAGCAAACTCAAATAATATATACTAATCAAATATTAAATCATTGAGTAGTCTAAAATCTGAATAATACAAATATCCATTCACCATTTCAATATATGCACTAATGCACAATGCGTAAGTCGACCAGTTGTTAAAGATAATGCCTGAAGGTAGTTTCTTATTACAAAATCGATACTTTTGCATTGACTCATTGTTAAATTTATATTCGAATTTTCCACAGAATAAAGTGGCATACAAGTCACATTTAAATTTAAAATTGGTGTTTTTAAACAATGCAGTTTCTTCATCAATCGATTTAATGTCAAATAAGATAAATTTACTAAGACAATTGACATTTATCACATAATACTTATTACATAGTTTGTATATAATAATCTTATTAGAATTTCAAAAAAAAATCTTATAATGCATAGTTGCTAAACACTTCTTAAATTCTAATTATTCTCTATATCAACACGTTTTTCGTTATGGTTTTTGGTTGAATATAGTTAAGTACTATTATTACATTGACAACTTTTGAAACTGATCACCTCACATAATATGGGTAATATATTACCTACATCAAATTTTGTACCGTTACCGGATAATTTGAAGTTTATAAATTTTATTACATACATACGACTGTCTTAAAACCAACAATTATTAAAAAAAAAAATTTACATTTTAATGAATAACTATATTATATTAAACTACGGTTGTAGGAACAAAAATAAATGTCAATACATTGCTTTTGGTACTTTTTTTTTTAAATATAGCAAGTATACTTTAGTTAATGCAGAGTGATTCTTTTAAAGTTAATCAATTATTCTATCAAAAACTAAATAATAACAAACATTTTTGAAAAACCAAAATATTTTAAATATTTTTATCGTTATAAATTTTTAAATTTTTAAACATATGATTTAATTATTTAAATTAGTTATTACTTACATTTTTAATTTTTTTATATTTTTTCCAAGAATTTCAATACATAAAAAAAATATTAAAAGAGTACCTTTGCTTTTTAATCGAATTTTAGTTCTAAATGAACCTTGTCATTAATATAGATCATTGTATTGATGGATATGTTAAACTTTAATTTAGCGATAAATCATTGTATACGAAAGACGATTTGAACCAAAATGATATTTCAGTCTCTATGTTCCTAAGGATATTTTATAATTTAAATGAATATATATATAACTATTAGTAATTTATTTTTCGATTAGTAAGAAGGTATAGATTGTACAGAAATATTTTATATGCTCAAAAACGCTATGATAGACATAAAAAAAAATTACACATCATTGTAGGTAAGATCATTCCATTCACCACTTTGCTCAGAATCTAAAATCGAATTCCAAACAAGGTTAATTATAACTTCCTAAGTTAAATCTTTATATTTTAAAGTTTTGATGAGTAAAGAAGCGAAATTATATAATAAATTTGAGTATTTTAAGTTTAGATGAGTGAACTAGTGAACCAATGTGATAAAGGGGTACCTCGCAAATTTTCGATCCATTACTTAACTCATCAAAACTTTAAAATGTAAATACTAATAAAATTATAATTGATCAATATCATTTGAAAGTAATGGTAATATACGGACTGAAGTAGTACAAAGGTAGGTGCGCCAAAAAATGTTGGTTTACTTCTTGATCATCAATACGTTAAACACTAATTATAAATCTAAACTATATAAAATTAACTACCTAGGTTCTTTTTTGAATTTTAATGCTTATATATATATAGAAATTTGAAATACTCAGAAAATTATTTTATTTTGTAGTATTAAATTAAAAACATATGCTGATATACGAAAAGTTATAAAAAACTAAAAAAAATATATTTAAATATTTTTTTCAAAATTATTGTTTTAAAATGAATTCTAATTGTAAAAAAAATGTATTGTAAAAATGTTAATATTTTTCGAGAATTTTAGTATTTATTTAACAATAATCATCATATTACATAGAAAGTTTAATTTTTATTGCTTATCTTTATGTTTTATTGTATTATAATTTTTCTTATTTAGCTCGTCGTTGGATAGCCCACTCACAGTATATAATTCGTCATCAGTCAAGAAGACAGTTACCAATAACCTATTGTTGCAATTCTCAATAAAGTATTTTATTTTGCACCCGTTTGATGAGATTTGTTGGAGACCGAGAACTCTTGTCACGTCATCCAAACGGATTTTTTATTTTCTCACTGTTATTCAACAATTTATACCATCTATACTTCTCGATTTCATGCTAAGGATTACTGGAAAACCACTCAAGACGTAAGTCACAAAATGTTAACTTTAATCAAATTTCATAAATGTTATAAAAAAAAAAAACACTGTTAATTACAATGGTGGATTAGATTTATTTTTAGGAGGGGGCAATATCTTCAGTTCGAAATTTTAATCATTACTATTTATCCGCTCAAGCCCGTAAAGTAAAACAATTATAATTTTTAAATCAAGAAATTAACACTATGATTAAAACAAAATATTAGTTATGAATAATATAACAATGAACTGAGACCAAAATATATAAGGGGTCATAATCTTTCTAGGATCTACCTATCACCTCCAATGGTTAACTGTGCAATATTTCAGATTTTATACTTGTCAGTTATAATAATTATCACGCTACAAATAACCATAAAAAATTAATATCTGTATGTGTTAAGTATATCTACGGATATATATAAGTACTTATTGGTTTACTTACGTACGTTTAGCAGCGACATTGTTAAAATCTTTTTAAAGTCTAAAATATTATCTACGCTGCGACTATGGATTGACAATAATTATTTCATTAAAATGTATTACCTATATTTTTATTATTGCTTCTGATACCATTTAACCATTTTATTTACTTAACATATTATATTATAAGTATTATCGTTTTAAAAATAATAAAAATCATTTATATAATTACTAAACATTGATAAGTAATACCATTGAGTATATATAGTAAAATATATATACTATATATACTCAATGGTAATACGTAAATGGGGCTGTTAATAAGCAAGCAATTTTTTTCTTTTAAGTTTATTGTTAAAAATAGCTTAACTAACATAACATTGAATTAAGTAGCTAGATAGCAAAGAATTCAGTTTTGAAACTTTTACTTTAATTTGTTAGCATTTTTTACATTTTTAATTTCTTATGTATTTTTTGATTATTTTAGATTAAATTTTGTTTCTTTATTTTATTTGATAATTATAATGATTTTCGTCAATTAAAACTTTTAAATAACATTCAATAGATTTTTTTTTTTAATTTTTGTTTCGTAGAATAATTAAATAAATATTTTTTTCTTTTCAATATAACTTAATTCATTATAATATTTTTTCAATTTTGATTTTTAAGAGTATTTTTTGGAATGTGCATTTTGCATTGCGTTTTTAAA